GGTACCAACCCGTCGGTAATCATTCTAATAATATTAAATATAAATACGCATGATCCTGTTCTTTGATTTATTCCATTGCCCTTGAATATAAGTTCCACAACATTGCTATTATTTAAGTTTTTTTATGTACTTTTGGTCTTCTGTTACTATATAAACCAGTATTAAAGTACTTAGTTTATATATAGCAAAGTTCTAAAATTACTCTGTCGCTGAGGTAGGGTGACAAAGTGGTTTAGGGTAACAACGACAAAGTTAATAGATCTATTTATATTTCAGTAATGTGTGTAAACTTCAAAGAAATACCTTCTTTTGTTCCATATTTAAACCTGAGGATAGAAAGAAAAAAGACGGTTATTGTATTTGTTTAGTACATTAACAATAAGATATGGAGTACATTTTTGTATCGAAAATAAATTTAATCTATTTTATAGTGTAGTCCTGATTTTAGTTTTATTGGCTGCAAAGAATAGTGGTGATGCTTCTTTAACAAATAGATTCCTTTACGGAACAATTTACATCTATATAGCCGTAAAGGAATCTGTATCTGTGATCAATTTGACATTTATATAAATTAAAATAAAAGGAATAACATTTTGTAGTGGACCGAATTGTAAATCTAAACCAATCTCGAATCCACTTGAACACAAACAATTTTTTTTATCAAAATCAGTCCAGCCGTTTAGGAGGAGTTCAGTCACATACACACTCAGAGAAGGATCATATATATAGAAAGATATATAAATGTTAAGTTGGTTCGAGAACGCTTCAAAACCTCAAAAAGTTCTGCTCGGATTAAGACACGCTTCAAAGATGGTTTTTATCTATTTTTTTAAGGTTATTGGTTATTCGACCAGGTTGCACCGGCCGTGGTCACAGGCTGACTCCACTGTGACCACGGCCGGTGCAACCTGGTCAAAACGTCAGGCAAACCAGAGGTATGTAATACCCTAAATAAGAGATCGCGTTAATTCCCGTTAAATAATATTAATTATCATGGAACGCGAAAGTTTAAAAGTTAGCGTCACTATTGTTTCTCATTTCTGATCAATGCATCCAGAAAGTGCCACAGCGAGGTGTGGAAGGGTACAGCTATTATATACCTATTTGTTGGTGCAGTCTGAGAGTTCAACTTGAATTTCTATATACGGATACAGTGACTTAATAGTGACGGACCACAAATTTATGTTACGTAGTTACTAAATTTGAAATTGATAAAAACCTAAAACCAGATTTTTCATAACAAAAATAATTGACAAGGTGTTAAGTACCAACTAGAATCACGTGACTGCAAACGCTATCCAGATTCATTACGTCATTAACCGATAAGCAAACTGACATCTGTCAGTTCGTATCGTCATAACTACAGATGTAGGTAGTTGAATAATTTAATTAGACATTGACGTTCCAATTGAATTTTATTTATTAGAAGTTTTTTTTTGCGTTTTTCTCTTTTGAAGCCAATATAACCATAATCTCGCTTCTTCTTCAATAGATAGACATAGATTAATATACAATGTGAGACACCATTATTATAAACATTCCATATGCGAGCTAAATTTGACTTTCAAAAGTGACCTAGATAAACTAATTGTGTTAAAAAGTATGATACGATATATCTCGCTAATGCAAAAGATTTAGTTATAACCCTAAATCAAGTTATTTATTACCGTTCAAAGGTCAGTAACCTTTAATTTTAATCCGCTTTTTCTATCACTTGAACCGTGATACAGAATAAATTTAAATGTATAATTGTCACATTTCCATAGGCATTTTGTTAGGCAGACGTGTCGACATATTATCGAATCTTCGGTAGCGCCGTAGTATTTAAGGAATCTAAATGTAACATTCATTTAAGTATCGAAAATGAATACAAATTGACTATAAAGGTATGTAATCTCTGAATCTGATAATTTGGTAATACTTTGAATTAGTAGCGTTCATTTTGTGTAATGCAGTAGACTTTAAGTAGATATTGAATTCTCTTTTTGGTATTTGTTATCTTGATTACGCGCGAGTGTAATTTGTTTTTATTAAGATTATTTTGGGTTACTTGTGTGAATGGTCAGATTAATAATATTAATACGTTTTTATTTTATTTTCTAGTAATGTGATGTTTAAAGAACAAACTCTGAATAACTCAGTTGGTTAAACTTCTTACGGTTAATTATGTATTTATAATTTATTGCTGTTTTTTTACGGTATAAGGGTGTAAGCCAACAGAAAAGTCACCTTAGGTCATTTTTTCTTTCCAATACACGAATTTTTCCCATCTTTAACTTTCAAATATCCAAACCCTTATTTCACGGTTTGCGCCTTATTGTTTCATACTGTACTACCTCTATGAGTATACAGACGTAAGTGCATGTATACTGTTCGTGTATACACTTGTATATGTGTATGTACCCAGACTCTCTTTTATTGTGAAATGTGGATTTCCTAGTATATATGAATATGCATATTTCGAAATAATGTTGAATGAATTTGCATGTCATATTCAACGATATTGTTTGTTTATATTGTTACGCGGATAGTTTCACATTTATACGATCATTCAATTGAATGACTGATAATTAAATTTAGAAATTCAGTAAAAATTATAGTAATGTTTAATTAATTTATGTCAGTATTTACACTATTTTATTAAATATTAACTTTATAGATAAATTAATGAACCAAAAATCAAAATTAATAATATTTTGTATGAAATATTACTTCATAAAATATTAATTTACTCCATATTAATTACAATTGGGGCTTTTTATATTTCATTGAGTTTTGGAAAGGGAAATAAACTGACAACATTGTTTTTTTATTAACAATAAAGTGACTGAATTATTGTTTTTTTATAACGACCTTTTTGAACATATTTTTCAAACAGCACCAATATACATATGGCAAGAGAAGGGTTTAATTTCCGCCTACATTTTCTACATTAAATAGGCGTGGATAAAAAATGTATACCGACAATTACTTCTGTGCCATAATATAATTATAATTAATGAATATAATGGAAGTCCTACATACAAATGCACTCCAGAAAACCACATGTTCTAAACAAAACAAAGCTCGCACACTGCGTCCTCTTTCAGGCATAAACGTGTTGCTTTTAAAAGGTACGTTTTCGTCATACTAAGTAATGACTTTAAATGAATGTCGCGAAATATTTGTTCTAAGGGAGGTCCCTTACCTCCCTTGCCTTAGCACGGTGTTGCCAACATCTTTACAATATTTTTGTGAGATTTTTCTAAAAGTGGATAGATGTTTTTTTTTAATTACTTTTTTTATGATTCAAAATGAATTCTTTAGCTGACTATTATTTTACAAAAGCAAAAATTGTATATTTGTAAATGTATTTTATATGTGACATATTTCTAAGATTCGCAGAGTCGAGCTTGAAAGGCCTAATACAAGAACTTATGAAGAAGCGTCACTGCAATAAAGCCTTATACTTAATAACAGTTGAAAGACCATACACAATTAGTGTCCACAACAACCCGTCTGGCAAGCGTGGTATAGTAAGTGGCCATAACCTCCTTTCTAAGGAGAGGCCTATGTCCAGCAGTGGACTATTATAGGCTGTTGATGTGATGTGTGATTATGTGGTTCCTAATAAGTAAAAAATTGTAATCATTTATCAACGAATAGCAGAATGACTCCATTATTTATGTTTATAAATTACCTAATAAAAGTATGCAAAATGAAATATGTCAATAGCCTGTGTCAGACTATTTTGTGTCAATATTTGTCTAAAAATGAAGCAAATAAAGAATTGTTCGCTATTTGTTCAGTGCTATGAAATTATATGAACTATGAAAAACATTTTGAATTTTGGTTCGTTAAACTTCATTTTACTTTTGTATTAAGTTTAAAATTAAATAAAAATACTCGAGACTGTAAACAACATTTATATTAAAGCGTCTACATAGGTCAGTGTAAAAAGGACAAGTAACCATTTGCACTAGCGTGCCGATGACTAAGCGATTAGGATACAGCAAGCAGTAATAATACTGCAGATTACTGTTCCAAGTACAAGTTTAATTTTCGTACAAAACACAGGTCAAACAGCGATATCATTTATACGTCGAGAATTTTAATTGCGCGATTCAGCCTTACAGCTGAGCGCCATATCGTGGGAATCCACACAAACAATGCACTTACACTTAACACGTATACAATTTAACAACTAAATTAGCCTGTATTATTTTATCTAAAGTCGATTGGCGAAAAGCGATATATGTTGTGAAGAATGAACAGCGCTAATCCCTAAATGGTACGGAGATACGATGAAAGCGGCGGAAGCGATTTACGACAACGCCGCGGCGTCGGCTCATATTATATTTGCCGCTTGAAGTAAAATCCGAAATGTATTACAAATATGTATAAGATATAAATTTATTTGTTTTCTAAAATGGATTTTTAAAAAGTTAGTAATATTGCATGTACTAAAAAAAGGATTTAACAGAATACCTTAAAATTTGGAAAATATGCCTATCTTTCCACTATCAATGACTATGTTTTTTTTTGTGAGCGTTTACTAAAAGTTGATGTCTATTAGGCACCCAAACCAAGTGCAGTCGCGTTACATATTTATGATCTATGAACTAGATATATTGAGGAATTCTAGTAAAATATCTTATAACACTTTTATGCATTTATGATTGGTACGTGGTCATTAAATTAGAATATATTAGTCATTTTATAAAGTCTTACGTCCGTATCCGAATTCTAACGAATGTTTCATCAAGGTGTTGTATAAGTTTGTTATAACTTAAAAAAAACATTTGCATGCCCTTGCAGTAGGAATAAAGATATTAACAAGTAATATTTATTTAAAACCTTAGGTTTCTGAAGGAAAATAAGTCAAAAAATATCCTTAAAATCGAAAATCTGTTTTATGGTTTTAACGTGCTATAACCAATTAGTGTGAACATTTTATGCTGCGACAACACTTACTGAATAATATTATTAATGATTAAATTGATATTTTCTTCTTTTCACAGAGTGCTATAGTCGGGGAGCGAGTGACATTGCCCTGTCGTGTAGCGAACAGAGAGGGGACTGTACAATGGACCAAAGACGGTTTCGGACTTGGCACGCATCGCAATCTCAGCGGCTACGACCGATACGCCATGATCGGGAGCGACGAAGAAGGTAATATTTCAAAAAAGATCTTGTAACTGACAGGTACAAGATCTTTAAACACAACAAGTTAACCTCTTTGCAGACACACTTTTTTTTAAATTGTATAGGGGAGCGAAAGAACAGATGGATCACCTTTTTTTTTGAATTTTTTGAATGTGCGAAAAACTCTCCTCGGATATTATGTCAGACTCGAACCGACCAAAAACCACACGCCGCCACCGTCTCGGGTACCAGTTATAATAATATAATATAATATAATATTCTACCACATTCACACAACGCCATCTTAGTCCCAAACTAAGCAGAGCTTGTACTATGGATACTAGACAACTGATATAAATACATATATACTTTTTTTTTTGTAAATACATACATATTATACATAGAAACACCCAGACCAAATCAAACATTAAATGTTCATGCACACAAATGCTTGACTTGAGCGGGAATCGAACCCGGGGAACCAGGTGTAGCCTAGGAAGGAAATCCCTGGAACCCCGAGCCATCTACGGCCTGTAGATGACCCCCTCGTATGTAGGAATCACGGTGTATCCATTCTAAAACCTAAAGGGCGTGCGTGCTCCACAGCGAGTCGCACCGGTAACCCGGCCTGCTTCTGCTAGGGTGATCACCCGGTAGTACCGCCGCACATGGACACTTTCAGCTCAAGAGCTACTAGTGCGCTAATTAGCCCTTTGAGCTAATTGATTAAGATAATATAATTTTATCATATTCACTTTTTATATCCCCTTAGGATTAGGACGTTGCATTAGACAATTCTACAGTTGCAGATTTCCATGGGTGCAATAGTCAGTAGTCACTGACAATCAGATGATTTGTCTGCTCGTACATTTCTAAAGTCCTAGGAATCGAGACCTAGTTCTTATTGGACAGCGCTGACCGAGAAAAGCGTAACGGAGAGATTTTTTTAAGGCACTCGAAAATAAAATTTAATGCTATTGCTATCTTTGAACATGACAAAAAATGCTCGCGCTGTGTATTCACTTTATGTAAATAATGTTAAAGTTTATTTTCTAGTGTCTTAAAAAATCCTCAACGCTGCGCTTCTCTAGGTATGCGCTGGCCCTAAGGCGCAAACAAAAATCCCGACTAATGCTTCTTGAGAAAAGGCCAGTCGTTCGATATAATAATATCTAACATTCACTCTATTAGCCCCTTTTCTTGAATCTTCTTGTAACCTACTTTGATTTCTTCACATAATGGTTATTTAATATTTACTGAGAGAATATAATAAGGGCAGGGCAGGCAGACTGTAATAACCTGAAGATTCTTTACAAGAAATATTCACGCCGGTCATCGCAACGCGTTTCGTCTGTGACTCAGAATGTAAATAAAAACGCACTTTAACACACAGCAACTGCTGTGAAATTTTTAAATTCAATCTTAAAGTAACGTGGCAAAGTTGAATATTCAAAGTTGTTAATAAACATTGTGTACCAATTCACACAAACAATTTTATCTTTTAGAGTTCCGTAATAAAAAACAAAAAAAGGAGTGTTTTTTCAAATTCATATTATTTTTATTTCATACATTTCAAACAAAATGACGCATGAATGAAATCTTTCTCCTTACCATATTATTAAGAGATACTAAGAGATACTATAACTATAATTTGGACCAGAATTGGATCAGAATAATATTTTTAATCGACTTCCAAAAAAAAACCTTAATGTATTGTTTTATGTGTGTATTGTATTCTTAATGTGTATTTTACGATACATCCTTACTATTTGTAAATCGATTACAATAACTTGTTTTAGAATTGGTTGTACCCAAGCTTGGTCATTTGATGATGTATATCTGCACGGACGGCGTAGTGGTTTAAGCGGTCACCAACAAACCTGAGTGTTGCAGGTTCGACCCCCACATGGTGCTTAACACTTTGTGTTATCCAGAAATCGTTGTTCTGGGCCTAGATGTTCTTTGTGTTCGTTTCATAACTATTTGTAAAATCTCCCGCGATACAGGATAAATTCCTAGTACGAGAGGTATTAAAAAAAAATATATAAATGATTTAAGAGAAGAAAATTATAGAAGAAAAGTATAGCTTGTCATGATTCTGGGAGTGTTGAAGTCGTTCTTACTTTTTTTAAATGGTGCGCTGCAGCCCTTGGAGCCAATTGATTAAGATAATATAATTTTATCATATTCACTTTTTATATCTTTGCTTATATTACCTAAATTTCGATCTTAAGGAACCCGAGCCTTTTATATGAATTAAAAGCAAAAAGAAAAAAATATTTGGCACGAGCAACGAACGGAATAATATTGTGCCACGATATTTAGGTACAGTACTGACTGAGATGTTATTTGGGCTAAAACTGAAGGCTATATTCGCACATGTTACAATGTTTGAACATAAATCAATTACAGGGTTAGGTGAGTTATTTATGCATACACATCTTTACCAGTGATTTATTATTTCGAACTTATATTTAGAAATTCTTTGAAATACAATTTCCAATTAAAAAACCTATATGTTACGGATTATTTTTAGTGCTTTCAGATAAAATTAATTTAATGCGTTGGCTCCATGAGGCTGAATTGCAAGTCTCAGGTTTAAGTATTGTATCATGATACAAAAATCTAAGACTTGTGATTGCAAATTACAGTTTAAATACTTAGATTAATAAAGCAGTAAAAATCTTAAATATCTAGATATTAAAGATTTTTACTGCTTAATTTAATTTAAGGGTCAACGACACGGATCGTTTCACTGTTTAGTTTTCTTTTAGATTTTATATACAGTCACTGATTCACAGTTTCCAATAAACGTTTATTGTGAAGTGTGAGTGAGTGGCTGTTATTTACTTTGGATAATTGAAAATATTATTAGTAACCAAATATTTTACAGTGGGATAAAATGAGTGAGGCTATAAAATTATTGAACTCTCCATACGGATATGAGAACGGTTTCATATTTAAGAGAGTGGGAAGTTGATGCACTATTCCTCTTAACCGTATTCGTAAGTAACTACTGCTAACTGTAAGAAAACAGCACAACGGAAAGTAATGTTGTTTAATGATGATAATTTGTGATGTAAAGCTTCAAATATACCGAACGTACTCGTTTCTTAAGAGTTTGATCTGTAAACTTTGAACCACCTTTTACCTCCCTCCCTCACACACATATCCCATCACATCAAAAGCCTTTAATAATTTACTTCTATACATACCCCTCTCGCTTAGAAAGGAGGTTTTGGTCTACTATACCACGCTGGCCGCTTGCTGGCTCGGTATAGGATTTGTGTCAAGTTTTCCTTCTTTTTGCAGTGCTGGTGTCCTGCGTTGTTTTGCACCCGTAGTCGGCTCTTACGAGACCCACCGTATGAATAGGGATTGTGACACTCCGTATTCTCAATTTTTCACCACACGGAACCCTCCCTTGCCCTGCCAGAAATATGGGGGAACATGTGTTAGGATCCGGTAACCTCACTCACGCGGAAAACCAACGAAGCAATGTCTTAACATCGGTTTTCTATGAGCCTTGGTATCACTACTGTCGAGCCGACCCGTATTATATGTATATGTAACTATATATATGTTTATAGTATTTATATATATATATTTATATATAAATGTTGTGTATATATTTGTATATAGATATAGTACGTAGTGTTGTGTAGTGTATGTTTTAGTTGAGTAGTAATGCAACCTATGTGCGCCTTCCACTAATGATTTCTACACCACCCAAAGGTTGACTGGAAGAGAATGTCCAGGGCATTAACTCCGCCATTGTACAAGAATGCATAAAGTTATGTAAATAAATAAATACAATATGCATGATACTATCACGTTTGTCTAATGTTAGTAGTTTATTACCTATCACAATGGGAGTGTATTAGAGTTGTATTACGTGATCTACACGAACAGGGGCCACTAGAGTGTAAGGACAGGTGCACAAATTACGCATTTCATTTACATTTTTACATTTTAAGTTAGAAGAACTTGAAACATCACATCGATAGTGCAGGCATTAAGCAGGCGTGACGCAAGACTATGACACAACTTGATTTGAACACAGATAACTTGATGCCATTTGATTAACAGCGGTCACAAGTCTATGGTATATATTATTACTAGTTATGCCCGTCGTTCCGCCTGCGTGTATGTCGATTTTCGCCTATGTTCTTCCTCAAGAATCAAAGTATTCCCATGCCAAATTTCATTAAAACCAGTTTAGCGGTTTAGCCGTGAAAGCAGAATAGACATAGTAACTTTCGCGTGTACAATATTAATTAGGACGATAGAGTATATGTATATGACGGGCCTGTTGGTCTAGTGGTTAGTGACCCTGACTGCTAAACCGGAGGTCGTGGATCGATTCCCACCCAGGACAAATATTAGTGTGATGAGCACGATCGTTTGTTATGTGTCTGGGTGTAATTTATCTATAATATGTATATATTTAGAAATATAAAGTATGTTTATCAGCGGTCTGGTTACCATAGTGCAGGCATTGCCTAGTTTCGGGTCAGACAAGTCGTGTGTGAGGTTATAAAAAAGTATAAGAAAAAAATTGCATTCAACTAAAAGAAACTTCTGTTAAATAAAACGCCATTAAGTTTAATAAAATGTACTTTATTCTTCGGATTTGTGGACAATCGTAACTAGGATACGTATCCAAAGTATATGGCCCCAGGAACTAAAGGCACTTTATCGTTCTAAGGAAATATGAGTATAGGATTGCATTTCAAACTGCCGTAACAATATGCCGTTGTACTTGTAATTCTGATACGTAACTGCTGCGGAAACACAAAATCGATACGGTAGGGTTTATTGTTTCCTTTCAACTAAAATTAATATCGATATATAATGTTTATATCGACTTGAAATGTTAAAATAATTACTCTAAATTTATTTAATAAAACTTATAAATAACTGTTTAAATGAGTACCGCCAGAACAAATCAGTAATTGATTTGACTGCCCTGGTGGTGACTGCTGGGCTGAGGTCTCGGGTTCGATGCCCGGGTCGGAGCAAATGCTTGCATGATCTGCAAACACATATTTGTTTCGGAGTTTAGGTGTTTTCTGTTTAAAACGTATGTATTCACAAAAAAGAGTATATAAGTATTCTATCAGTCAATCTAACTTTCATAGTACAAGCTCTGCTTAGTTTGAAACTAGATGGCGCTGTGTTTCAGATGTCCAAATATTTATTTATTTATTCATACTGTTTTAAATAATATAATAACTTAACTCATCTTACACTCGGTTGTCTATTGGAAAACCGTGTGTGAGATGAGTAAAGATGAGTGAGATAGGATTACCTAGACAAAACTAGTACAAATTGTTGATGTATCTAAATACTACACAATACATATATATAAATAAACGTAAATGAGCGTATCCAATACACAATTATTTGTCATGGGCGTGAATCGAATAAACCCATGACATCTGACTGATAATTCAGGACCACTAGATCAGAAAGCCAGACAATCATTCGTATTGATAAAGAAATATAATATTTTTTCTTCTGTACTTTCCCTTGTAAGAAGGAAATATAACAGTTCAGAACAGTCAATATTCTAAGAAATAGTTACTAACCGAGAGAAAAGTAACCAACACATTATTATCTGGTATGTAATATATCTGCGGAAAAGATTTTCCCTGAAAGCAATAACCTTCGGATAGTAATGAAAGCTGCCGACTGATAATATCAAGATATAATAAGCGAAACTGTTACCATCGTAATAGTGAGGTAGTAAAATATCAGTGTACAATATAAAATATTTTCCTTTCCTAAAGACTTAGAAATAGTAATGGCACAGGCGATATTCTACAGACATTAAATTGAGTTTATGTACTTTGTGCTCATAGATTGCAAGTTTTTTTTTCAGCCTTTATAGTTTTAGATTCTGCCAATCTTAAAACAAGGTTCGTAATATTTAGAATTAATTATTGTCCGTGTAGTGACGGATTAAGAATACGGAATGTCACTACTCCAATTCATTCCATGGGTGTCGTAAGAGCCGACTAAGGGCGCAAAACAACGCAGGACACCAGCACTGCAAAAGAAGGAAAACTTGACACAAACCCTATACCAACCCGCCTGGCCTGCGTGTTATAGTAGGCCAAAACCTTCTTTCTAAGGAGAGGCCTATGTCCAGCAGTGGACTATTAAAGGCTGTTGATGTGATGTGATGTGTGAGAATTAATTAAAATAAATATTGATACGAAAGAATATTTAAATCTTTGTACTTGAAAGAGCACATTATTCCGCTGACAATGGATTAAATTGTTACAGAAATAATGTATTTAAACTAGTCCAAGCAATTAAAGTATATTTTTTCATATGAAATAGGGTATAAACAAGCAAACAGGTCACCTGGTCGTAAGTGGACACCTACAACTCAAAGGTTACAAACATGATTTATCTGCTTATCTTTACATTTGCACACTACTTCAGGCATCTCAAAATATGTTTATATTCCAAGTTGGGCTACAGCAATAATATCTGTGAGATTTCCAAAGATAGCACTGTACTAAAAAATGAAGCTCAAAGAAAGACCAGTAGAGACTTTATAGAGAGGTGTGATACACATAAATTTTTCACTTTTCATTTCATATCTATTTTATTATTAGATTTTTACGCAACAAGTCGATGAACTTTCCTGGCTAGCGGCAGCAATAACTATTGCTTGACGAACGAAAAATAGATTCAAGGTTTCAAGAGATTTATTTGGCATCTCAAAACAATATCAATTGTAAAAACAGTACACGTTGTACTAATTGAGACTTAAAGATTAAACTTCAATAAAAAAAGGGCCTTTGTGTAGATTACGTAATATTTGTATTAATCATCATCGCCCTCGTCTCAGCTAAAAGACGTCCACTGTTGGACATAGGCTCCCTCAAAGTTTGCCACAACAACCGGTTCTGTGCTACCCGTATCCAACGTTTTCCCGCGACCGCGAACGCGATATTTGTATTAATCTTATAAAAATGCACTTGAAACAGCCATGAAGAGTACCTGAAGTTACCCGAGGATACGTAAAAATCAAATTGTAATTATTGTTTTATGAAAAGTTAGAAAGCAGTTGCTAACGCTCTTCAAGACCCTTAGGTACAAAGCTAGGTATTATCTGTATATTTGTGTATCATATTTTCGATATATACGTTTCCACTTCAATGTAAGTGTTGGCTTGTTTATATTTATATGAAAGATTACAAAGAGCTTCTAAAACTGAAAACATAGGCATTCTTGATAAACAAAAAAAAAACTATAAATAATTTTTTTTTGTTAATTTCTCTGTATGTAATATAGTTTTTGTAAAGTTTAGTATTTATTCTACTTAATTTAAAATAAATATTAATTAGTTATAAATAATATAAATCGGTATAACACATACAGCAGGCAGAAAAATGATTCTCAACATTTTCAAGCGAGCGACGATGAAAGATCGTCTTAAGTGGGTTGGAGCGTTCTTACGGAGTTAAAAATGAATTCACCTTATTTCTGAAGACTTGTGAATGTTTTTTTTATGGTTTCGTAGAATGAAGAGAACAAAGTAATAGTTTATTTGCTATAATAGCTAAAAGTAAAGAATCGGGAATAATTTAAATTTACAAAAAAGTCATAATTCATATTCTCACCTGGAGACGGTGTAATTTCAGGTGTAAGAAGTTTGATTCACCTTTAAGAGAAATCAAGTCACAGCAGATCTTTGAATTTTAGTCTCTGAAGAAGGTTAATTTCAAACCTAATACATCTAAGTCTTTTTATACAAGATACACACATTGATCAGAACAGTTGGTATATTCGTATCGTTTTTAGAGGTTGTTGTTTGTTGAGAGGTTCTCACACCCTATACTATAGCTATTAGTTAGGATACCATACCGTTACTCAGATATTCTGTTGCCAAATTAAATAATCTAGTTAGTTGTATTTGGTTTATTTTAAAGAGCTGTAGAGCTCAGTTTAAGTAAACCGTCTAATATGTGATGTTATTTATATAGTCCAGTGCGCCAGAAATAATTTTGATACCTGACTACTTGACTGCTACTGCTAGTACTGTCAACTACTTAATGTTGTCTTTACGCCGACACTTTGGCGTACATTAGATCTTAAAAAACAAGATAAAAGAAGAACATGACCTCCCTCCCAGCAGTGAAATAACCATAGTATCTAAAGCCGTGTCGCATTGATTGTAGCCCCAAGGGCTTATAAACCCACACCCATACAGTTTTAAACAAAGAATAACTTCTAAGAAGGCAAAGCAAGCTTCTTTATGCAAGTAATGTTTTAAATAGACAGCTATTTTTGTTCAGCCACTGCGAATGAATCTGAGATCTAGACGCTTTGGTCTGTATTTAAATCATAATATTATTTAGAAAAGAAATCTTTTTATAGTGGTTTACTCAGTGCTTATCACACATATTTGTAGTTGTAAACACCTACTGCTAAATCTTTTAATACTTTATTTTTAAATGCAATATTAAATGGTATTATAAGTGGTTGACTGGACTGTTGGTCAAACAGCTAATGATCTTGACTATAGCAAGGGGTAAGAGGTTCGAAATACACGACCTAATAATTGTGTGAAAGCACTAACATGTTATGTGAGTGGGTGTAATTTATTAACGGTATATGTTTAATATATCAGTATGTTTATTAGCAGTCTGGTTACCATATCATAGGCCCCGGTAAGTTTGGGTTCAGACGGCAGTGTGTGAGATGTGTTAAAAGTATTAAAAAAGGAATTCATAATTATTCAATTCTTTAAAATATTTGTAATAAAATACTCCGTTCTCTTTATGAAATTTTGCGACATACATTCGTCATTTTCTATGTTATGATTAACTATCTTATTTATGTTGTATAAGTATGTTATAATATCTAAAACATTTTAAATGATGATGTTTAGTATTATAAAATAAAAAAATAAAGACTTAACCCATTCAAATATAAAACCGTTACAATAGATCTACATTTCAATCAGAAATATAAATTGCAACGAATCTGAAACCGAATACTGATTAATCTTGCAATGGTTAATTAAGTCATTTGAAGAACTGTCCCTAGCTGGAACGTTTTTTTTTTTGGAATTAACAAAAAGCCAGTCAGCTTATTGAATAGCAATTCCTCGTGGAACAGAATTGCGCTAGCGTAATCTCTAACTAGGAAGGAATTCTATTTTTAGAACAACATTTTAGGATTCATTTTATTAATTTCCACTTCCCGCATCTTACTGCATAGTTATCACTGGATGATAACTAAATCTACTTTTTGTTGTAGGGGACTTCTCGCTAGACATCAAGGATGTGACTCTAGAAGATGATGGAGTGTATCAGTGTCAAGTCAGTTCTGCGTTGAAGAACGGTAAGTACATTGGTTATTTGCTTTGTATTTGTATTTGCTCGTACTATCCTGCAACAGATAGACATTCATTACAAAATATTCAGCCTGATAGACAATAAAACAGTATCTGATAACAACATACATAGGTATACAAAATAAATTGAAGTATGATCCGAAGTGTCACAGAGCATTTGAAGTTATTATCTGAATATATCGTAAGTCACGTACTCCGACCGTTCATCGATATCAAATTGCCGAACGATTTTCATGTTACCAACGAAAATTCAGAAAGTTATTGTGTTTTGTGATACTTAAAAGTTTGTTTTTCTTTACGAACTTGTTAGCTCTCCTTTTAAGCAGCTTATAACGAGGGGCGTAGTTGCGAATATGCTAAGCACAAGTTCATAACATCAGTTAAAGTTATATCACATCTCCCAGTCTTCTTAGTTCTTTAAGAGACAGCTGAGTATAGTATATGATAAGAATCTAGTACATTATTTACAGATGCAGCACCACCAATCCGATCTCGTGACGCACAACTGACGGTTCTCGTCGCGCCAGATGCTCCTAAGATTTTGAGCGGGGCATTCATAGATGCTATTGAGAACCAAACTGTAAATATCGAGTGTGTATCTAAGGGTGGGAAACCTGCAGCAGAGGTTAGTAATCTATTTAATTGCTTAGAAGTTAATAAATGGAACGGAGGGTAAACGGAGCCCGCGATAGAAATAATCTGTACTCCAAAGACCGTTTTGAAAATAAAACTCTCCCTGCCATCATTGAAATAATAAAGTACACAATATTTGGATGATTTGTCTTATATTAACCTGATATGTCCTTGGAAACTATTTAAATAAAGGCAGTTCAAAAGAAATAACTAAAGTCTTGAAATTTGAAGAAGTAGTAAATTAAGTAGTGAATTAAGTAGTGAAAAAGAATTAATTTAGAGATTCTAGAAAGAAAAATGATGTATTTGTAAGTTAAAAGGACTTCAATTTTAAAAGTGTTATGACAAAAAGCTACTAGACTCTAATACATATGTACATTCCTATAAATATGTTCAGATAGAATCAAATTCGAATAGATAGATCCTTGAGTTAATAATAACATATGATTCACTCATCCATTGCAAATTAAAATAACTTAAATTATTTTTATTAAACGACAATAGAATCTCATGAATGTAGGACATAATCAAAGCAAAATAAGCCGGTTCTGAATCGTTTAAGAAAAAACTACCTTTATTTTTTTTTCTACAGTATTGTCATTGTCCTAGACTTTTCCCATCACATGACGGAGGTACGGGTACGACTCACCCTAGTCTCTTTGAGCTACTGCACTCTCGATCTCATTTATAAGTCCAAAATCTCTCGTCCTATAGCATCCGTATCCGCTTTCCATACAGCAATGGTCTTGGTCAGGTCTGAAAATATTAACATTGCGAACCGGACGGGCGGATGGAAAAGAAACCATTTAAAAGCCTTTTACAAATGTCACATATTCCATGAACCCCAAATAGAATTACAACTGTGGCAGGAAGATCATAAAGATTTGATTATATCCCTCTCTTAATGCAGATAACTTGGCTCGATGGTAACCAATCGGTGATAAAGAAACCAGTGAATAACACCCAAGAACTTCTACCAGACGGACAACGATATCTAGTGAGGTAATTTAAATATTTTGTTTTGTGTCAAAGATATTTAACTCATTCCTGTATACTTTAAATTGCCCGACTGTTATTCAAAGCATGGCACCTACAGGTCTCTTCGCTCTTTGAAAAGGGATTCTATCGGGTACGAAAATAGTCGGACACTCCTGAAATACATTAGTGAGGATAACCGTATAACCTTCACACATTTTTTTTTCAGATTTTTAATTCAGTTCAGTTGAATTCAGTTTTAATAAATGATGTATGTTTTGATACATTCAAACATTGCTAACAAGCACAAATTATAGTGCATTTTAGCGGCTACTCGTTAACGATAATGCAACGTGAAATGAATGCTTGTACAATTTCCTGAAAAATATTCCAAAAGCCTATTCACACACCTGGTACACCCTGACACATTTTATTGATTTCGTTTAGCTCCCTTTGAATAGTACAAATAATAAAATTTTCTGCAATGCAACATGGAACATACTAGTAATACTCGTATTGATGTCAAACTTAGAATTAAATAGTGAGGTAGTTTCCCATTATATCATCCTGTACACAGCGTTTAACAGTTTATGAAGTTGAATTAACTATAAGACTAAATTAATTGGTATAAGTGTTTCAAGTCTGACTTGAAATTGATTTAATATGGGTTTTATTTTACATTGGAACATTTCCTTAACTAGTATCAAGATTGAGCAACTAATGTAGCACAATTCAAACTGCTGATACACTGTGTAATGAATTGACAATGGCAGGTCGGTGTTGCGGTTAACGCCTAACAAGAGTCACCACAACCAGACAATCACGTGTCAGGCGCAGAATACAGCTGACAGAGCGCCGAGGATGGCTACGGTACATATCGAGGTAACACCAAACGTGCAGATGAATTCATATAAATATATCTATATAATACATATATTTAATTACCCAAGCATCCGTCCACAGGTAAAATATGCACCAAAAGTGAAAGTGACAATAAGTTCAGGGATGAACAAAGGCAAGATACGTGAAAACTCCGAGTTGAGATTGCGGTGTGACGTAGATGCAAATCCGAAAGCACAGAAATATTTGTGGTACATCAACAGTAATCCTGTGGTCGGGGACTATACTGATGAAATGGTAAGTTTCTTACTTAAGTAATTTTTTTAAATAATCTTAATGATATCAGTCGTTGTGCCGAAACTTTATATTAAAAATCTACATAAATATAAACCAAGACTAGCAACGTCTTGTGATTCCTAAGGTGTCCATGAGTGCCAAAAGCCACTTTGGTGAGACGCTTCTGCCTGTTTTCTCTCTGTAAAAAGTTTACGAGTGCAGGGTATAAGACAAAATTTTTGTTTATACAAACAAAGGTTATGAAAACTTTCGACATAAAAAGAAACACTCCAATGTTTCTGCTTTTTATTGCGTCGAAGAGAAAGCAAAAAATTAATTTCAATTAATTCATCTTTAACAGCTGTAAGCAATCTCAATAACATTTCGATATAGGAAGCGTTACACATGTGTGTAATAAACCTGGATATTGTATCGTTATCGCTGATCTGCTGTCGGTTAGGTTAGTAGTGTTTGACCAACAATGGCAAGATGATCAATACATTTGTTGCAAATTGTATATTGCTGAATTAGCCTAAACCTCTATGCCTCTTGAGCTTAAGCAATTTCTATACAGCTTTTTTTTTTATTAAAATGCTTTATCTTTATCTGTGTGTAAAACCCCATATGTACCATTTCGTTCTAAGCAGATGAATCACATCAAAAATGAGTTTATACGTTCAATTTTAATTGGTTGCTGATGTGAAAGTCAAAAATTGGAAGTTTGCGGGCAATTAGGCAAATCCTAGGGGAAAAGCTAAACTACTTTTCATATACTTTAGATGTTTTGAATAATAGCTTTACTACTGATGTCTATAGCTCACATAAAGATTTTGTCATTGATTACCATAATATCTGATTAACTGATGAGGCGCCCAAGTGAGGGAAGCAGTCCGATAGATAAGACAAACCTGAGAATAAATATTAGTAATAGCATGGTTGACTTCGTCAGCGTAAACCTTAATAAAGAAAGAAAAAAACCAAGAAATTAGAAAACACTCGATTTGCATTTGTGATAATAGTGAGGATAGTTAAATTATCCATTGTTTCTAATAAAGGTGTGGTATTCCTTCAAAGAAGGTAAAAAATTTTTTAACTTTTGTGTTATTTATATCATTTTCATAAATGCTTATGCTTATACGCACATGACTATTAGTAGCCATATGTTTCAATTTAATTATTTAGTTCCTGCATCATCCACAGTAGCGGTGGCGCAGTAAATAACCATAACTTAACACACTAACTTACTTCTAGTATTACAATCTTCAATGATAATATTTTTCATTTCAATTTTGCTATTTATACAAATTTGAGTCTAGAAAAACGATGTTGTTTATGTTCTGAATTTCTTTTCTAAACTATTTTTTTTTGGCCCGACGACCTTGAAGAATCATTATATCTTGCATTTTTTTATATAATTGCTCACTAAGCACGCATTGCACTTCGCCCTTCAAACATACTCATTAAAACAGCATAGGTTTTATACAGAAAGCAACATGCGGAAGCTTATAATTTGATGAGCTTTATTTCAAATGTACCGTCTACTGTACACTGCAAGCAATTCCCGTGAATAAAATAACAAGCTGCTACGATGTTTTCGTAACCTTATGCCTGCAGAAAGTTATGTGTGTAAATTTTTGAACGCAACAGTCATATACGTAGTAAATGGTTGGTTCTCGCGTGTCGTGAAATTCAGTTGAATGGCTAACTTAACGTTTATTGCACTCAGTTGCTTAATTAACGACATCAAAGTTGAAATTGCTGCTACTGTTGCAGTTTGTTGCTTTTGTTCTCACTATCTTTGTTTAGTTTATGTTGTGTTATTTTAGCTTTGGGGGTTGGTGTTTTAAGTTATTTGATATACTATATCATTATTGAGTTAGTCTTCGGGTTGGGTAGTGTATAGATATAAAATTTTGTCGATTGATCTTTAGAGATGCTAAAAATTAATTAACAATCTGCTAAATATTTGCGGTATGCAGGACATTCACGTTTATGACTCTAGAGTAACTTTTATTACCGGGCAAAAGACGGTAGTATACTAGATATTGTCGAGATCCATTGATGTCAACCTGGGAGCGACTTATCTTTTAGTGCAAGTGACTACTTATATTACAATTGTTCACAGTCAATAGTAATCATCAACCCGCAAGTATGCGTTTTTTTAGCTTAATAATTCATGTTTGACAGAAATCAACACTATCACTAAACAAAATAGTTTAAAAGGACTTTCTCTGCACTTCACACGAGTGTTACTCATCAAATTAGTGGTAGTGAACTTGCCGCTTAAATAACGTATTTTTGATTTTGTTTTAGATTATCTTCAACGTATCCCGCAAGCACCATAACGCTTTGGTCAGATGTGAAGTCAGCAATTCAGTTGGAACGAGTGAGGGGGATATCTCCTTAAAAGTCACATGTGAGTTTTAGTTGCGGCTCTGCCCGCGTGTATGTCTATTATCGCAGTAAAAAATAGCATGTGTTACTCGCTGATATTGTAGCTTTTCATTGGTGAATGAATTTTTAAAATCGGTTAAGTAGTTTAGGCGTAAAAGCGTAACAAACAAACAAAATCACTTTCACCTTTATAATAAAATGGAAGTATCGATTACTGTCTACTCATTTGCCTCCTTATACTTTAAAAAATATTTACTCTTTTTGAATACTATCGAAAACAATGGTTTGGTACCAAAATACTGAAATAGTAATAAATGAACCTTTTTAAAAGTCTAAATCAGGGAAAAAATAGGGAACTAGGTCGTTGTAACATCTAGATCAATATAAAAATATATTTGTACCGAACTATTTAAGAGACTAGGCCACGTCGAAAAACTTCTTGAAACGAACCACTCGAATAATTAATACATCCACGTAGTAGTTGAAGACCTTGAACTGCTTCGATAAAAAGAAAAAAAAATATAAAGACCTGTTGTCCTAGTAATACTTTTGCAAAATTATGCATTGCGTTGCATTTTTGCCCAATTTCCATGTTTTTGTCACACATCTTTGAACTTTGCTGACGCATTGATTCAGAATCTGTGCGCTATTTGTGTTGAACGATTCTTTTCGATTCGAAACTTGCCAGATTGCGACTTTTGTTGCATTTTATTAACATTTGTAAAACACTTACACAAAGTACTAAAAATCTTGTATATAATGGTTCAAAGAATTTCATATGTTTAGTATTTTTTGCTTCTGTGTAGAAACTTGCTACAACAGCTATCACCTCGACATTATCTTGAGTTATGTATGACGTCAGGAGCCCATGATGTGGGCGCTTCAACGTTACAACTTTAGCGTATTCGATCATCAACATAAACATTCTGGCTATTTCTCGAACTGTGTTGAAAAACTATGAGTGACTAGCACGAAAAGTATGCAGCTGAAGCTAGGGACACTGTACTCATAATGTTTCAGATGAATTTAGATGTTAAATAAATATTAAGGAATTATGGAAAATTCTTAATTCAAAGAAATATGTTACTAAATTATTTGTTTATTTTCTAGCAGACAAATCAATTAATTAGACACTATTCTGTGCGCTTGAGTGGATGATGACTTGCGATAAAAATGCTATGCTATCTATTTTAGAATATGTGCAATATAAATGCACATATTCTAAAATAGATTTAGACAAGCCTGTTAAAATATGCCTCTTATAAATAATATTGTCTCCAGATCCACCAAAATTTAGAACTAAACCACAAGACGTAGCTACAGAAATTGGTTCTTCTGTAGTTTTGAGCTGTGACGTAGATGGACAGCCTCAACCTGAGCTCAAATGGCTTTCTGAAGTTAAACCTGGACAGATAGAGGTAAGTGAATACCATGATGGCAAGGCAGTTACTACTGAGTCAATACCAATTTGTAATATTGTAATACTAATACACCCCAGTTATCAAATCTTAAAGTTACACAATAATCATGCTATTTTACTAAATAATTTGGGCTATTGTAAACTCAGACAGTATTGTGTGAACCTACTGTTTTTCCAGCAGTTAAGAGTGAGAGCTCCAAATTTAAAGCTGCACGTAACGAAAAATACAGCGGGTCGATATATCTGTAAAGCAAATGTTGATGGATATCCTGAAATCGAAGCTGAGGCTACTGTCTTCATTAAAAGTTAGTGATTTGTCTTATTTTTTTTAATAATGTGTTAATAAATAATATTTAATATAATAATATTTAACAGATTTTTTCAGAAAATAATAATAAATTAATATTTTTCTTTATTGATTTTTTCGTATCCTCTTCAACTGTTTGTTTTTGCCACCGCTATTTAATTATCGCCTTAACATAATAAGAAATCCCATAATTTACACCTAAGATATTACTTGTTATGGTTTAGTATCATATTTTCATAAAGTCCCTATTTTAAAGTAAACAAAACAATTTCTATGATTACAAAACATGCGATTTGAGTTGTTGATGACATGCGATTGTTTCATGGGAATGTACATAAAATAGAATAATGACTAAGAAACTTTGCAGTTTCGTTGCACAGTGTCGTTATTTTTATTTAAATTATTGAATGAGAGATTAGTGTCTGATGTCACGAATTACAAGTTATGTCTTAAAAGATTGAAACCGTATTGCAAAAAGTACGAAATTAACAAAAATAATACATCAAACTTACAGATTACTTTCTGTTTTTTAAATACTGTTAAAAATTTAGACTTACAAGAAATTCACCTAATTATTATAGATAAAAAATAAATAGTCAATATTTATAAAATTTATGAAATGCAATATTCTAAAAAAATTCACGAACAATTTTCCAATTAGTATTGCATTGGTATTTCCTTGACCTTAGCTAACCAATCCAATTGGGTTTTAATATAAAAACAATGGTTGTTGTCCGTGTGGTGACAGATTAGGAATACAGAGTGTCACCATACCTATTCATCCCGTGGGTGTTGTAAGAGCCGACTAAGGGAGTAAACGGAACTGCAAAGAGAAGGAAAACTTAAAATAAACCCTATACCAACCCGACTGGTCAGCGTGGCATAGTAGGCCAAAACCTCCTTTCTAAGGAGAAGCCTATGTCCAGCAGTGGACTAGTAAAGGCTGTTGAAGTGATGATGATGTGATGAGTTGTTAAGGCTACTTTAAATATTCTTAAGAATAATGAGTAAAGAATCAAGTTGTAGGTTGTGAAGTAATATAATCATTTTTTTAATTGTATAGGTGCTCCAAAAATTTTATCAAACCGAACACAGTTTGGCATGGAAGGTGAATATGTAACATTAGAATGTGCGGCACTGTCAGTACCCAAGCCTGATGACATCAGATGGTACTTTGAGAATAGGGAGATAAACATCATCCAGGATCCGGTAAGTAGTACAAAATGATGCTAAAAGCACATTCCGTAGCAAATTAAGTAAAAGTACACATGTCTAAAAACTTTTGTTTCAGGATTATGCAACTTTAGAAGAGCGTCTACCAAACGGGATAATAAAATCAAGCCTTGTGATCAGATCAAGTCAGTCAAAGCACTACGGACAATACAACTGCAGTGTTACTAATGAATTCGGGAACGCAAACGTAGCAATCATGTTAAAACCGTTGAGTGAGTTACTATATTCTAGAATCTAAGTTTAAATTACTTTCTTTGTTTGTACTATTAATTCATCAGTATTTTATAAACTTTGTAGATTGTTCAATTATTTCCTTTTCCTATATCTTTTCTCTTAATTTGTTAAAATGAATTTAAATAAAACTGTATTGCCTTTTAAGCTACCATTATTTACTTTAAAAAAATACGATTAATTTACCACTACTAAATTAGAGTGCCTGTGATAAATGTATTCGGTTAAGGTACATTATCAAAATGATATTTAAGTTAGAATAAATTTTAATCGTAGGTTGATATTATGGAGCTCAAGAGTGTATAGAAATGTTCAATAATGGAACACTAACACAGCATGGCATTTGAACAATGCTATACTCGCTATTGTTACATGGTTTTAAATTCTTTTATAACATTTTAGAACGCGTAACCGAAATCTTTACATCTTTTTCTAATCACACTTGTAGTTCTCAGTTAGTGTACATGCGTCAAATTATTTTTGTATTCAGAAGCTTGAACTATAAATTTTTGTTGAATTTTTTTTTGATATTATTGAATTAATAGTTTAATTGGCCTTTAATTGACCAGACATATTCAAATAAATTAATATTTTTCAGAATCTCTTCCCCTTTACATAATATTGATTGGCGTGACCTCCGGTATCATTATTTTCTCCGGCTTTATTATCTTAGTCGTCGTCTGCCATCGACGCAGACGAAAGAAGAGTAGGATGAATGAAAAGCCAGACGTGACAGTTACTACGGGGGATATGTATAAGGAGTCAGATAGGAGTTCCAATATCAGTGACCTGAAGCCGCAACTTCCACACAGTGATGGAAGCTATGAATTAGTAAGTATATTGTTAGTTAAATACAGTCTCCAACTTTTCTCTTATCATGTATTCCGATAGATCTAGGTTGCATCGGTTCACGAGACTATTTATTTGTGATTGCTTCGTAATGGAAATGTATTCTATTGTTCTTTATTGTCTGCATTCCTAGCACTTTGACCATATCTATTGAAGCAGAATATGTTTTACCATCAATTATGAATACAGTTCAATTCCTAGAAAATATTTAAACTAAATTCTTCTTATAAATTACTTTATTTTACGTGTTTGACGACCTAGAGTCTTAGGTCGAATTTTATCTGGTTTTATATTTAGAAAGAGACCCCGGCGCAGGATCTTTACAGCAATACCTATTTTGTTCTAATTTTAAACAAAATGGATTTTCTCTAGGATTACACAAGCTCGGAGCGTTCAGACAGCAAGATACACGCGGGCTTACCATTGGCTGGTCCTGTGCATTTGCCAAACATACGCCACGATGACCCCTTAATGCAATTTCGCTACAGCAACGACTACTCCGATCCTACTTATAGTGACACTTATTTTAAGGTTTGTAATACTATGATATATATATATATTTTAAATTCAATGTGAGGTCTATTTCTATTTCGGCTTAGTTGGTCAATAGCATTAATTGCGTCGATAACATCAATAGCGTTCTCTAGAAACTTATGTAAATGGCTTGTTTTTTATGCTTTCTACAATTAAGAGATAATGATAAACTTGAAATTATTATATAAGGGATCTAATATTTCCAGTTGGATTATTAGGATTGTTAAATTTTTGACTTTAATCATGAGCTACTACACAATTTAAATTTTGTCCTTTATTTGTAATTCGACTGGATTCATCAATTAAACTACAAAAGTGGTTTTTAATAATGACAAAGAAAATTAAAGAAAACTTTATAACCGACGCTGCGAATCCTATGGAAATAATTTCACGAACCAATTTGTTAAGACGACAGTCATGAATACGTGTAGCTGTACTTTAAAAGGCTGAAATTGCAAACATAAGTCGCCATTCCAAGTTGTTAATGTAATGTATTCCTTGTGTTATTTGTAATGTTTTGTAATTTTAATGTCAAACTCTCATTTAAATATCTTTGAGAGCCGTAAATGTAAAATGAAAACCATGTTGTTTTTGGTTTAATTTGTTCAGCGTACCTACAATGTTGTTCCATTAATTAAATAATTATTATTCGTCGTTGTTTTAACTGTAGAAGTTATTAATTTGAAAGTTTTGTAATATGGAGTATTTAGAAAAAGTCTAAATTTCTATCGATTTTATTTGATAGAAAAAAATATCTATAAATATAAATAATAATAATAAAATATAATATGAAATCTGTAAATATATGCTGTGTTGTCCTAGGGGTGAAAATTACTTTTAGTTATTCGTTTCTTATTTTAGAGATCCTATATCTATAACTGAATGCCAATGAAGTTGTTGTTGAAAAGGTTTACGACCTTAACAATTTTTACACAAATTTATTTGTGTTAAAATAATGTAATCTTTAACTTTAAATATCAATAAAATAAATACAATATTGTTTAATTAAGAGTTTTGTAGCAAGAGAATTGACACCCGATTTTTTATGCTAAGTATTACAATGTAACAAAATATTTTCTTTTTCTATAGAATCCAGCAGGATATGTTTACGACTACCCACAAGGATATGCACCTCCTTCTCACTTAAGAGTGCAGCCCCCTGGCCTTGAAGTCCCTCCGCCTAGGTGAGTGTGTCTTCAGTTTTTTAAAGTAATTTACTAAATCTATTTAATACTGTACGATAATATGTTTGGTCAATGAATAAATTAACTTTTCTGCACGAGTTCCTATTATTTTTTGTTTTTAATGGCTACAGGCTACGGTTAACTAATAAATAACAATTTTCTCAGATTTGTTTAGTTTTTTTCACGGTAATTACAATTTGAAAATATTGTTGAAAAATAGTAACGTAAATTAAATGCCTGTGGGTTTATTTTGCTATCTTTACTCAAGATTAATTTCAATAGAAAGTCAATTTTACTTTTTCTTAAGATTGCCTAATGAGTTGTTTGGATAGGGTTATCTGAAAAACATTGAAATATATTTAATTAAATAGTAAATGTTATATTACTCTCGTAGTACAAAAACACATTGATAAAAAATATCTCAGTAAGTTTTTTCAGTGCATATGAACAAAGAACACTATCGTTTCGTTAAGTTGTCATTAATTTTTTTATTATTTTAAAAGAATTTATGCATCTCTTTTTTTTTAATAAAGAAAAGTGTATGCTATTTTATTTATAGGTATAATATGAAATTTTGTGATTTTGTTGAAAAAAATGTTCGCTGAGTACATGATACTCAGAACAAAAGCATTTATTTACCTTTATAGTAGGAACATTAGTAACTTAAAATGAACATTGGTAAATTATTTATTTAAAACTAATGAAATTGTGTCTTTTTTAGATTACTAATTACCAAAAAGTCACAGAGTTACATAATTGATGGTTGAAAATATTTTTTATTCCCCACTCTTCTCTCTCTCTCTATGGAGATCATTATAAACTTCTGAAAGCAAGGCATTAAGATCAGCCTATGACCACGTCAACTGCAACTGTTTCGCGTTAACTCCCGTACATAAACATTAATACATTATCCTAGAACGTCAAAGTTTAACATTTAAAAATATATTATAAACGTCACTCAACATTCCATCAAAACAAAACAACATTTTAATAGTCTATTAATATTATCTATCCATATCAAAAATATTGAAAATCCTCTAAACTCAATGACCGTGGTCAGTTTTTTACTTCAAAAGCGTAAAAAAAAGGATTACTACACCAAACGACAGTGTGAAACGTCTTTATTCCGACTTAAAAACAGTCTCTCACACAAATCCCCCTCTAAATCCCAAATCCTTTGTTAAGACTTGACAACATCATTCATTCACAACCTTTTCCGACACTCAGGTCACTTCAAGGCTCATTGACGCGTAGCATCGACACCGCTTCCACGCTTCCGTTGTCAGCAGGAAATGGATCGCAAAACAACACTTTACAACGAACGAGCAAGTCTCCAGACGAGACAGACGCTATTAATAATTTGGGGCTTCCAGTTGGCGGAGATGGTAAGTTCAGTGTGATATAAATTTTTGTTATTGAAACTACTTTTATTGGTGTTAAAATTTCTAATTTATTGAAAAATTAAGTAGAAAAAATATGCCACAGGACATCATCCTCATCATCATCCTCCGAGCCTTTTTATAAAGTAGGTTAGAGTCACCTTTCAGTCTACTATGGCACGGCTGAACTTCTATTTTTTACTGCGACTGCTATTAGACCTTCACATCCCAAGTACTAGGCGATATCAAAGATTTGTAGATAGACTGTTTTCGGACTTTTTAGGGCTTTTGCCACAGATGTCGATGTCGTTTGACAACCCGGACCGACGCCTTAACGAGGTCACCGAAGCACGGAGAGGTTTCAATGTGTTAATAATGGTTACCCATCCATATAATGATCGGGCTAGGATTGCTTAACTTTACAATGTGATAACTTTACCGGTTACTAATTAGAAACAAAAAACCACAAAAGATAGAAGAATAAATTTTCGTACACAAATTGACAACAGTCTTGATATTTTTAAAAGTTTAATTCAACGAGCTCAATATATGGACGCTAAGCTATACAGTTGAATGCTAATTTGCGGCATCACTGAATCGCACGATTGCGGTGCAGTAATTGAACGCAGACGGTCGCCAAAACACTAGTCAGTATTGATGTGTTAACAGGCGACGAGATGGCGATCGAGTTCAGGTAGCTTGCGACTAGGTGCTAGATTCGGACTACGATTTTGTGAATGCATTGATACCTCGAAGCTCAGAATACACCAATAAAGAGTATTTCATAGAAAATACGGATAAGAATGAAGATAAGGATTATCATATAAGGGATATTTAGTCTGTTAATTTTCGGGCATTAATTTCTGATATTTTGACACTGTTGCAAGCGCCATGATCACGGCTGAAATTAACTAATAATTTATCACGTGAAAATAACCATTGTAGTTTAATCAATACATATTTTATAATGTTATAGAAGTATCAATGCGTAAGTTTGCCCAATCTGACATTAAAAAGTGCTATCTCTGAATTAATATCATAAGATTAATATCTATCAAATTTGCATAATCCGAGAGTACTGTTAAAATCCATCATAGTCATTAAAAAAAAACAAGGGAGTGACACCTTAAGTTACATTTTGTTGTTTGGTTTTCAGAAATCTTTATTCTCATAAGAATCTGTACATTTACTTACATGAGAACTTATACACAAATAACTATAAAATATACCGACGAGTATGCATAAGTAAGAAATAAATATTACGTGACAATAAAGGTCTTAATGTATGTATGTATGTGAAGTAACAAAAAATTTGAAATAATTACCTTTTACCAATTTTAACAACATGTTTGATAGTTATAAGGTATTGAAACCTAAAAAAAAACTCGTAATATACTGTGCCAAACTTAGCAGAAATTAAAGAAGAAAACCAAAACCTTAAGGGAATAAAACACTAGTTTAATTTACTTACTTCACTGTACTTAATTCAGATTTTTCTTACCTAGCAGCCCCACCGGCTCCCATATACGCCCAGCCGAACACCAAGCCTCAACCTAACGTGGACTTAAGATATGCTGCCACTTATGGCAATCCGTATTTAAGAAATAGTAATGTTGGTAAGTTGACATAACCGCTATTTTATTACTACTACTGTACTACGAAACTACTGACTGCACGAATGGCGTAGTAGCTTAAGTGTTCGCTACACCGCTTTCTACTACACTCTGTGGGTTCGATCCCCACATGGGACGACACTTTATGTAATCCACAAATTGTTGTTCTGAGTCTGGGTGTTCCTTGTGCCCGTTTCATGTGCGTTTGTAAAGCCCCCCCGCCACATACGATATTTTCCACTGCGGGAGTTGTCTTTTATAAATATATAATAATATACTGAACAAAAACCGGTCAAAGCTAAAGTTTAGACAGTAATATTCGTCAGTTATACTTGTCGTTAGCCTCCTTTAACATGTTTTTCAAGACTAAAAAAGCTCATTAAAGACCATGTTCTGTGAATTTTGGTATTTAAGTGTCTTATTAATATACGGCTAACGACTGAAATTGATCAATCTACTAAAAAGTCGTAAGATTTAAGATAAATATCTAATAGTCATAATATAATATACTGTCAAATTATTATCTTGTTGTATTTTCGTTTTCGGATCAGAGATGAGCAATACTTTTTTAATTTAAGTCCATTAAAATTTTTCTTTAAAATTTTACTTGATGTATGTATATGTTATTCAAAAGTTACATATTCAATGTGTTATTATTAAAAAAAAAAACATATATTTGTACGTACAAAAATATCTAATTTTAAATAAACTCTTTTCCTAATAAAAAAAATCTCTGTACAGCAACATATTAAAAAAATATATATATAATATATATTTATATACATTTTATATAGACTTAAAATAGACAGAAATATGTTTGGATGGTAAACCGACCGGGTGGTAAATTCAATTCTCTCAAATCGGATCGGTATTATGCTGCAAGCAAATTATTTTCTTAAGTTTCAACTGTTACATCTTTGATTTATAAGTACTAAGTTGTTATCATTTGTTAAATAGGCTACGGCAGCCAAGTCCATACGGCCAAACCAGCAGCAACCCCTGCACCCCCGCCATACTCCGCAGTAAGGAGTTCAGTGGTTATACCAACAGGTAATTAGCTGCTAGCAATCATCTGCCGTTGTGGGGGTAAGCATTACTTGGTTACTGAGAATGCTGTGCCTGATAGACTGGACCAATCTTCTTCTTAATTTTTTTTTCCAACTTTTAAATTAACTTAACAAAGGCAAAAGTCAAGATAATGATAGAAATAAGGGCAGTGAAGTTTTATTAACTGCGTAGTTCGATATCGCTTAAATTTAAAACTATCCTCTTCAAGATTTCTCGCCTTCTTTTATTTTGAGTTTTGTCTTTGTGTAATGTTGCTCTAATACTATTGTTTTTATAATACCTTGTATCTATATATAACTATTTAATTACTATGGTAGCAAATAAATTAGTTCTTTTCACGATCTACTCCCATTTAAAATAAAGTAAAGTTCAGTAAATTCTAAATCTTTTCTTTTCTTCCAATATATTTTATTTAATGTAATAGAAAATTAAATTACAAATTATTTAAATTGTGTACTAGGAATGTTTGTATATTTTTTTCGTGATAGTAAATTAATTTGGTAATAAATTAATTATGTACTATTTTGAGTTCATTAATAGAATAAAGTAGTATATATAGATAATAAACAAAATCCTTGTTTTTACTCTCAGTAGTTAGTCAATGTAAACTTATCTGATATAATTTCACTTAAATAAAGGGTACATTATTTGCAGAAACACCTTGTCTTTTGCCTGATGCATTGTATTCTTTAAATTTTAAATAAGAATTTTTTTTTTCATTCAATATTAAGCTTTTAACACTTCTATAAATGACGTTTTTAACAACTAACACATTGGAAAACCTGACTTGCACGCTTCTTAGTCACACTTACGGGTATTACTGCTTGATTAAAATGCTTCTAATACTTTCAAATTTGAAATTAAAAAAGGTGTTCCATTTTTAATTTCAAATTAAAAAATGAAATTATTTAATTAATTTTAATTTAAAAAGTGACATTTAATTTTTATTTAAAATTAAAAATGAATCTGCATTAATATTGTTATAGTTTATACTTAAGTACCTTTTGGTACGTATGAGTAAATATATGTCTAAAGAAATCAAGGTTCCAATAATTGGTTATGCTCTCGACTGCTTTGGTCTCACATTCAAAACATACATACATACATACACAAACTAGAAGCAATTCAAATTAGAATTATAAAGTTACTCGTTAACAAAAACGTTAAAGAAAAATATAAAAATGATTACACTAAATTGTTTAAATAGTAAAAAATATGTAGAATTCTACCAGTTACATTAAAACATAACCACCCATACATATCACACACACATACCCACTCATAGTAAATAATCATGGCAGTCGGGAGAATGGCTTGAGGAAAGTCACTAGTGAATCGGTGATCCACGGCAGATATACTGTTCAAAGAGTACACAATTATTATGGTGACTGAACTTAAAAAAACGAGTGCCTTAACATCTTAATAGTCTGCCGTTGGATATCTGGGAAGAAGCACATAAAGCTATATTTAAGAGGAATCTTAAAAAGTATTTTTTTATTTTTTATTATAAGCTACTGTTGTGTGTACCTATAATAGTTTTTAAATGACTTAACTAAGACAAATGTACGGAGACTCGATCCTCCAGTCAAACATTCAATCCGGTTTTGGGGGACAAAGAATGTAATGTCATGTTCAAAAATAAATTTAAAGTTAAAAAATAAATACGATCCATGTCACACCATATTCTTTTTTATTTTTTGACATAATCTGTTTCTTAATCAAATGGTACTTACGTCAACAAAACATAATATGTCAATGTGAACTGTAAGCTGTAACCCAATATCTAGGCTCTCTCTAAAGTTATATTACCAAGTTCCAGCATAATACCAGCCAATTGTTTGTGTTTAGAAGTTACTTCGAAATTACGATCGATCTCAGCCACAACGGGCTTCTAAGTCGAAGTCGCATAAATCTCATTGCATTTGGAGTGTATAATTTATTACTACTTGTTACTTGGTTCGGTTTTATTTTATAAAGGTTTGACTTTCTTGTAGTAACAGGTGGATTTGTCTTTTGGTTTGAGTTAGAAACGATTAATTACGATGTAGGTTAGATTAACTTTCAACATAACAATAATAATAAATTGACTAAAATTAATTGATTAATTGAATAATAACTTCAAAGCTTGATTTATCGTAACTGTTTTTAATGCTGCCAAAATTCATGATGAAACAATATTAAATTTGTTTTTTAAATTATTTACACCACATTTTGGTGGTTTCGATTCCCACCTAGGACAAACAATCGTGTGATGAGCACGATATCTTGTTCTGTGCCTGGGTGTAGTTCATTTATAATATGTATGGTATGATTTAAAAATAAATCAGCATGTTTATCAGTAGTCTGGTTGCAATAGTATAGTTTGCCTAGTCAGACTGCCGCATCGTCTGTAAACTGTATGAAGGTTTATTAACCATTATAATAAACATCAATCAACTATCAAAGAATTGATCTTAAACTAACATCATAATCGACTCGTAAAGTCTGGAATGAACTGAATGCGTCTATTTAAAACTATTATAATCCTGGAACTTTCAAGAGTCTAGTGAATATGTCGAAATATCTCTTAGATAAGCGTGTACCATATATGTCTTTATTGTTACTTTTCACTATGTGACTTGCAACGCAAACGCCCATGTCATTAAACTATAAAGTATAATACTTAAAGTGAATTAAAGTATGACATCATATTCGACATAAGCGTCGTCATGATTCCATTTTATCGACTAAACATAATAAGATAAAGCCATCAGGCAGTAATATTTTTGCCTGGCAATAAAGATTATATTTCAGTAAATCATTTTTGCCAACCAATTTATTTGTAAAAGCCATGCTCCTACCGACCGTGTCGTGTTATTAAAAGATTTTTTACTTACGGAAGATGCCAGTTACATAAAATATCTCGCCCAATTTGTATTCCGTATTAAAAATAATAAATGACCTCACCCGCCTAACTAGAACGCTTTTTTCTCAATATCACTTAAGTTAATTGGTATAATTTTTCACAGGTAACGGCCAGGCCCAAGCCACCCACGTATAGCGAAGGAGTACTGAGACAAGACTTGTGTAGTGTACCAAAACAAAGTCAGTGTATGTCTTATGTACCAGGAATGAAGTGTAAAACATGCATTAAACGTATAAGAACTCACTAAAATGACATTAAAATGTTAATGTATTTGACTTCAGCTCTTGTTAGCGTTTCGATGACTTGTTGTACTCCAAGAACATTTTTATTAAATACAGTTCATTGACTTACTGTACGTATAATATATTATGTTCCTATATTTTCAATGACTGAGGTGTATATAGAGTAGATTAAGTCTGACTGTCTGTTGACTTGTATATTTTTTTTATCGAAAACAAATTGTAATTTCGAATCAAATGAATAAAAATAAGAAAATACTATATGTATAAGTTCTCATTAATTTTTTCAAGTTGATATTGAGTCTTTTAATAAATTGACTTGTAAATAGGGAAAAAAACTGTAAGTTAATCAGAAATTAGACAAAAATTAAAATTTGCACTTTTCTCTTTTTATGTTTTTAATGTATTTTGAGCATAACTTGATATTAATGTTTAATTTCAAAATATTTCTAGTTTCGAGATGTTTCAAAATATTTTGAAATCTATTAACTTACAAAATGTGTTGAAAACAAATTGTATTTGTAAAGGCAATATTTCTTTTGTAAATAAGCATAATGCATGAAAACAATGTTTGTAATATTATGTTAGTAAAATCTTTTTACCACAAACTGTAAATAATATAATGCATTTTGGTGTGATTTTTTCTTAGTTACAGATTTTTTATTTTTCCTAACAGGTGGCATTATGATTGCTCAACATAATAATCGATTATCGATTTTAAATGATTCCATTATTTTCCATTTAGTATAAATATCATTCGTTAAATAAAATATGCAGACTGAAAGTAAAATATTTTATAAATTTTATAGAAAAATAAAAACTAGTTATATGGTTTTTTTTTAAAGTGTCGTTTGATTTCTTGTACGACAGATTAAAAATCTTCTTTAGATAGATTAAAATATTTAGCTAAAATAACAATGATGTAGAAAAATCATATTTTCTGTGATAATTTATATAGTGAAGAAAAAATTAGGATTGCATACTTAGTTTCTTAGTTAAGATTCCGAAAACTGTGTGACAATCTTGACATAAGTTAATAAATATTTTAATTACTTTTAATTTTCGTGTGCCACTTTTAATTGTATTCTATTTTCATTACCCAATGTTAATATAAAGATATATGTATACTAGTTACAGAAAAAGCTTTACGAAAAATATCAAAACCTCAATATATTGGCATAATAATGGCAAAAATATATTTTTGTTTTGTTAAAAAATGAACAAAATGTATAAAAATATTGCATGAAACGGTGTTTTTGTTCTTTGCATGCGAATTATTATTTTTCATTATTTTAAATTAATAATGATTCTGTAATAATAAAACTTTGATTTTTTTATATTTTTGGTTTCATTAAAATACCTAAAACCATTTCTTTGTATATTACCCTCCAAGATACAAGTTCTTTTATTTGCATAAACATGTGTACATCAAAGATGTTTAATATTGCCTGATCACCATGTTTGACCGTTAACGGTGTACAATAATAAAATTACTCTAACCATACCATTTTTCTACAATACTAAAGGAGTCATGTAACATAAGCGGCGGTAGCCTAGTGGTTAAGGCATTGGACTTGCGAACATGAGGTCGTGGGTTCAAATCCGTACCAGTACACTACCGACGTGAACCCACTCCTAACACAAGCAATTAAGCTTAGCGGGAGGGGTTAATGAGAACACTAGTAACTTCGGTTGCAAGTAGACCTTATTTAAAAAAAAAAAACATAAATCATTTAATAACACTAAAGACATGGAACAACGACAAACAATTACAATGAAAGGACTCGAATATTATGATTATAGGCATATATTATTAACTATTAACTGTCTATAATATTTAATTCAGCATAATTTATTCAATATTCAACATATATTTATATATTTATTTACTGCAATTAATAACCCCTCAACATACAAAAAAGCAAAGAAAACAAAATGTATTAGTGCAAATTCTAAACAAGATACTATTAAAAAAATACACGCCATGCAGTCGTCAAATTGATTTTATTAAAAAAAAATCAAAGCTACCTACCCAAACCTATTTAAAATTTGACTAGGTATTAAGAAGTTGTAATGCAATAAAAAACTATCAATGCGTACATGAATGTATTAAAAATTGCAGAAGAATTTGATAATTTTAAAAGAAGTTAAGGGTTTTCTTTTCTATCATTTCCGAGAAATAGAAATTAGTCTAACGATATGATGTTACTAGAAAGGGAAGGAAGAACTATTCGTACGTTTACAAGAGCATTCCGCGCTAGCAGCTGCTGGAAGATTACTGCTCCATACTTCCGCCATACAAATATTTGTTTACAATACTTTCTACGTTTTATTTGTATTACATTTACCAAAGTTAAGTCTCTTCGAATCTTTTTTAGCATCACACAATTCTCTCACTCATTCATTTTCAGGCCCTCTGATACCTTTACGTCATTCGGGGTGATTTTGTTTTTCCATCCATTCCATCTGTATCTAGGTATCATTTCTCTATAATATGTATGTATTTAAAAATATATAAGTATGTTTATCAGCAGTCTGGTTACCATGGTACAGGTTCTGCCTAGTTTGGGATCAGACGGCCGTGTGTGAGATGTGTAAGATATATCTAGCATTAAGTCATTCGTCAACATATCATTTCAAGTTTGCCCTCGCCTAGCCCTAGGCCTAGGTGGGTGTCCCTCTGTCTCTCTTGACTTATTTAATGGTCCAAACCTGTCTAGTCATTTGGTCTTCGTAACATCCTCTACCACTGGACTAAACCAGCGCAGTTCGTTTTTTGTATACTATGTTAAAATCCACTGTTTCTCATATTTTATGAGGAATAATACCAAACAGCGTAGTTTCGTTCTCATTCTTTATCATATTTTATTTAATTACTCGGTGTCGAGTAATATTATCCCAGTCATTGGTTTCTGATTATTATAGCTTCAATCACTTTTATCTCACTCCGGTTTATCGTTATAACTGTTGGAGAGAGAAAAATATATACTAGTTAATGAGCTTTTGATGAGCGCAGGATTATTGCAAGAGATGTTTTAGGATCACAGGTGAATTATTATGTTTATACATGTTGACTGCACTGATGGCATAGTGGTTTAAGCGGTCGTCATGCTGCTTACTACTACGCTGAGTGTTGTGGGTCCGATCCCCACATGAGACTACACTTTGTGTGATCCACAAAGTGTTGTTCTGAGTCCGAAAGTCACCCGCAACACAAAATATGTTCCTAATGCAAAAATAAATAAATACTAATCCTACTATAATTGAAAAAAATAGTGCCATTTGTGATAAATTTAAACTTTCAAAGGTAATATAAAATTAGAAGGATGTAGTCGACGTTCATATATCTCAGAACCCGTAATTAGATTTGTGTTAGAATATGGCAGAAAATTTGAAATAAGAGAAAAGGGAGGATTTTAATAATGATGATAAAGAGCGCCACAACTTTCATAAAAAGAAACAATTCTAAACTTCAAGATCTCATGTAAGCACTAAAGAGTCGAGACTAGGCATATATATACCTATCTACATGCAATGAAAGAGATTTGAGACTTTTTGGTGAAGTTACTCGTATATTTAATTAGTGATAACCAAATTAGAATAGAAAAATTAAATAACCTTTTATAAATATTATCTTGAATAGTACCTATCTTATTTACTTAAACCCAAATCCAATAGATTATCGATTCTGGATTTATCCCTGACCTGATTGTAATATTTATAAGCCTTTAAGAATTACGCAACGAGTATTACTCTATGAAATTTTCCCTTAAAAAGACTGAAAACAGTCGCAGTGTAGTTTTATTAGTTGACGCAAAAGTACAAACAACTACTTCGAATCCATACATACTTCATAATAAAGAGAACACAATACTGATACCAATTCAAAGACAAGTAACACGAAAAAAAAATTAGTAAGTACGTGTGTACGTACGTAAATACAATATATTGTGTTGTTATAAGCTAAAAAGGTACCCTGAACCAAACATGTCTGGCAAACATAAAAGAATTAATGAAAACTTACCTTGCAATGATTAAGGCCAAATGTATCACATGGAAGTAGGTATATTTTGAGTTGCAGACCTGTTCGTCTAGTGGTAAGTGACCCTGACTGCTAACCTGCAGGTCTTGGGTTGTGTGAAGATCACGAACATTTGTTCTGTGTCTGGGTGTAAATGATCTATAATACATGTGTATCAGCAGTCTGGTTACCATAGACATAGGCATAGTTTGGGATCAGTCGGCCTAGATATGTAAGATATGTCAAGTTATTATAATAATTATTAATAGTTCCTATGCAGATCATCATTAATGCTTCTCTTCTAAGTATTTTAACCGATCGATGGTGTTCTAACTTCCTCAAGATTTAGAACTTTATTTGAGGATTTGAAACGCAAAATACATTTTAAATCCAAATGGTAATTTTCAAAGACAAAGCTTGCTAGTCTATTATTGTGTAAAAAGCTTAACTTTTAACAACGAGACAATTTTTAGCACTGCGTATACTTGAGGGAACAATGGAAGAACCAGCCTTCTTAAATCATTGAAACCACAATTCTCAAGTGAAAATTTAACATTTATATTTATTTTTACCGCAGATGTATTGATAAACCAGTCAGTCGGCATTGCTGTCAAGCATGTCGACCACAACGCCAACTCGCTGCTAGCGGTTGGCAACTGATACATTAACTTCTATTTCTAGTTTTGTTACATTCCTGTCTATTTCCTTGATAAATTTGATGTTGCTTTCTTGTTCTAATCCTATTTTCCGGTAGGAACTAGTAACTTAGGTAGTTGAATTTATACCTGATGTGGAGCTTTTGACGTAAGACAAACGACTCTCATAATAATAAATGAATAATTAATAATAGGGGTGAAAGTATGAAATTGCCGTTG